ATTTGTCTCCTTGAAGATCCGACTGCACTTCCTCAATCTTGCAAGGTTGAACAGGCCGTTTGGCTGGGCCACTGAAGACCACCTCATCCTCATTGATGGTGTCAACTGCCAGCACAATACCTGGGCCGAAAGGCATGTCATGCTTTTATACATGTTTGCTTAGGGTGTCTTTTGCAATCCTCGCTGTGGTTCGCTCAGGTGACTATGAAAGCATGTCACCAATGGGGTGGTACACATACACCACCTCCAAATCATCATTCTCATCAGGAAGCTCCACTGCCACCGTTGGCACACCAGAGTCAGTGTTCGGTTTGCGAGGTCTAGCTTTGCGAAGATTTTTCTTCATGACCTGCTTAAGTCTACTGGCCACCTGCCAAAATCACTCATGTGTGCAGACAAGCTTGCCACAGCTTACACACAAGATTGCAGAAGCATGACCCCAAGAAAACACAAATACAACATGAGCCTCTCCCCGGGTGCCACGAGAACATGCTTTCCTCCAGTATCGTCTTGCGAAGGACAGCAACCCATACAAAGAGTACGCCTTCCAGACTATGCACATGCACATGCAGTACATCCAAACAATCCCAACACACAAAACAACATGTACGATGAGGAAAAGGGCCTCATCGAGATACCATCGGTTTCTGTCTTTCTTGGTCTTCCTATTGCTCAGATTAAACTCAGCTTCGGCATCCAATTTGGCAAAGACGTTGGCTAGGAAGGCAATGGAATGTTCTCCTTCGAGCAAAAGGTTAAGTGTGTGTGTGTGTGTGCACCTGTTTCCTTTTATAACTCCCACAAATGCATGGATGCTCATAACCAATAAACACACACGTGCACGTGTGCCTTCTGGCACTCCTTCTGGCGACAGCTCGTACATCTTCAGAACCAGCTCAAGATACTGCTCAAGGTCAACCATTTTCACATTCCGTGCATCTTTGAGGTCGTCAAACAATGTGTGTGTTGTCCCTTGTGCACAATGTGCAAATGCCTCTGCAGGTATGTGAACCTTGATGATTCCTTAGCTCTAAATAGGTCAGATACACATACCATGTTTAGCTGCACATGCAACAGCACATGTATGCAGGCAAAGATGCCAAGAGCAAGATCCTCCTTCCCAATCAATTGCGACATGGCCGCGCTTCCAAGGTAAGCGGTGCGGGTCACTACAAAAAAGCTGCAACTCATGGAGGCATGTGGAGGCCGGCCAAACGCATGCAGTCAGCATGTCTCACGTTTTTCCATTGGATTCCAATGGTTTCCACCAGTTTTAGTTAAGTCTATGCAACAATGTTGAAGGATCATGTCACGTGCACGCATATGCTTCTTTGACCACCATCCCATGACATCCCATCCACATTCGCCTCGAAAAGATCCGCGAGGCATCCAAGAAGTTGCAGATGCATGCGCGCAGCAAAAAGCTCTGCCATGCGGCAAGTGGAGCACAATTGGTGATGGGATGTGGTGGGTAGTTCTTTGGTAAGGTCCACCAAGCATGAGCAAATTCCGTGCACATCAAGTGAAGTACAATTTCCCATAGTGCACTTGCATGTTGCATGACCTTTAAGTTCTTAAATCATGCAGGTCTTATGTCATGATATATAGCTTGATCCCAAGCCGGGCCCTCAAGGCTTTGAACTTGAAGGCCCATGGGTCGTCCTGTGGACCTCAATGGCCCCCGGGTTGCTCAATGCACAGTCCTGGACTCTGCAATGCAGACCCCCTCGACCCTCTGGGGGACGTGTTTGTTTCCAATTCATCTTTTATTTAGGCTTTACCAATTGATAGGGCCCCCACATAATAGACATAGTGTTTTTGAGTCCAAATATATGCCGCCGCACATATGTTTTCATGCATCGAGCGGAACATGGAATGACTTTTCTGAGTGTTTCTGAGATTCGTGAACCCAGCATGGTTGGATGCTGGTATAGTAACGGAAGACTTTCAATGGGAGCAGGAGGAGGATGGCGGAGACACCCAGCCCGCCCCTACAGAAGTCAGCTTCACCAGAGCCTGTGTTTGTTTCTTTTTTGCATCCCTTTTTATCTTAAAATGAAGTGGCGCATAGTGGCGCGTGCCAACCTCACATTTTTTGCGGAGATTTGTGGCAGAGACCCCCCGCCGCATGGCGATGGCTTTGGTCACATGGAGATGCTCACACGGTGGCTCAGACTCCATGGAAAGATGTGCAGTCCCCAACCATCCAGGTATGGTCATTCAGTGGGGAGGACCACATCACTTATCCTCAGCACAACACTCCAACCGTCCCCCTGGCACCCTGGGACGACTGGTTTCTGAGCTTTTCACACCCCCCCGCAACATCTGAATCGCCGGATCCCGTCCGATTCGGAGAGCGTCCTCTTAGCTCCGTTGGTAGTAAGCTCTCGGAGCCCCGGAGCACTCGTCGCGAATGTCCTGGTTCCGTTCGTCGCGATGCCCGGAGGTTCCGTTCGTAGAAGAACAGATGAGCAACCGCACTCCGATGAAGGCCCTTCAAGATCGGTCCTTTGGGTCGTTCGAGACCGGTGGGAAGGTCCACGTCCACTTCTTCTTCAGTCCGGCCGTTCGGTCCGGGTGCCGGTGTCAACCATGTGTCACAAGCTATGATGTTTCCTTATGCACTCTCTGGAATGGGAAGTGGCTTGCCACACAAATTTCGACAGTTTGTAAAGTCTATTGGTGCCATCCCAATTGGGCCAGGGAGTGGATTCTTGGTCTTCGGAACCTGAGGATTTTTGTGTGTTCCTTGTTGATGGTTTTCCGGACTTCTTCCGTGAGAATGGGTCTTGGAAAAAGTGACTTCCGGAGTCCAACTTTGCAGCTTTCAGTGGTGGAAAGCCGACAAACTTCGCCGACGAAGCGCTCAAAAGCACTACTTCCCCTGCAGCGACAATCACCTCAGGGATGGTTTGTGAAGGTTTACGATGATTGTTCTGTGCAGATTCATGCTAACCTTGAATTCCAGTGAAGGGGTCGGCCACAACTCCGCATGCTGGTGGTCAAAGGACACGCAGTACAAGCTCAAAGGGCCTTGGCTGGTAGTTGCGACTGCTCACCATCAAATTCAAGGGGAGGTCTCAGGTAGATGAACACCAGGTCACAGCGGCCGAACAACTCTTATGTAACAAGCAAATGCTCGATCCGCTGGATCTGTGTTGCCCACCTAGTTCACATCCAGTTCTATTCACATCCAGGGGTGGGTGGAGGGCGAACTCGCAAGGGCTCCAGGGATGGACCGCAGGCCTTGTCCGAGCTGCCTGAGCCTCCCCTTGAGGAATTTTCGGGCCGCAGCAAGGAGGAAGCAAGGAGGGCAACCACTCCCTTTGCAACAGCCGGGGTGAAACTGCAAGCCGCAAGCCACATATTCGGGAGTGTACTCCTCTCATCCCCTCTCATAGATTTTCACATGCATTCACATGCCCATGTCCGGCTATATTGATAGCATCCCACGAACTCCGGGACAGTATAGGACTCCCGAGATCCACTATAGTGATTGGACCTTTTCTTTTTGGGCGAAGACGCGGCGGAAGACGGAACCGTCGAGGCGAGATCGGATCTCAAAAGACTCAGACACGACCCGTCTGGGACTGGCAGGACGGGCTGCCGCCCCAGACAGACCCCCCTTTTCCACCACCCCAACGACCGTTTCTCGGAACTGCCGAACAAGGCAGTCCCAGACGGGTGGCGTCTGGGATAGGAACATGACGAGGCCGGTTTTTCTGCAGAGCCTGATGCAGGAGGTCGTCATGCCCGGTTTCAACTTGTTTTTCATACAAGGGAGGCTGAAAGTCTAACGCTGGGGCCTTGCTGTGCCGCGGCCGCTCACAATGCGTCTGGGAGAAGAGCCATGGAAACAAAACAGCTCGGCGATGCGATGTGTGTGTGTGTGTTGGCGTGCGTGTGCAGTGTGATGACTTGCCGGCGCAGTCTTCAATCCTTCATATGGCCCGTACTGAGATCCAGCTTCACTAAATCAAGACCCCCGGAAGAATTCCGAAGGGCCGCGAGGTTGGCTCGTTCGCGTGGTTGAGCTAGTTTGCCAGAAGAGCCGCGTACCTGGAGGAAGGAGTGCTTAGCGAGGTGCTTGGCGAGGTTGCAGCCCCCATAGGTCTCCCTGAGCTGAGACTCCGACAGGTGGCAGGGAAGGATGGTTTCGCATGGGTTTCGGATCGATGCTTTCAAAGCCAAATGATTGGACCCTCTGACTCATATCCCTAAGCTTCCTGACCCACCATTCATTTAAGGGGCTGAATCCCGAATCAACTAAGGATTTGACACTACAAAAGCCAGGTCAACCATTTATGAATGGTCCTTGGGGATCATCTGGCCGGGTATCTGGTCCCAGAAGTCGGGATGTCGTCTAGTTGCCCAAACACGACCCGTTTGGGACTGCCAGGGCGGACTGCCGAGTTTCACGGCCTACCGGGGTGGTGGTGGAAAAGGGGGGTCTGTTTGGGGCGGCAGTCCGTCCTGGCAGTCCCAGACGGGTCGTGTCTGGGTTGGTGACCCCTTGTTCATGATCTAAGCTGTGCTTTCTTCGCATCCCCACAGCTTATCCCATGTGTACTAGCGAGCCGGGTCCAAGTTCAGGTCTCTCAACCTTTCTTGATATGGTTTGTATGCTCGGGGTAACGTACACACTCCCGGAGGAAAACATAAAGGTATGGAAAATGGCGTGCGATGACGATGTTCCAAATTATATATATACCGGCTACCTATTTCAGAGAGTCTACATCAGCAGCTAGAATTGGGAGCTGCATTCCTGCACGGGAAACTGTATAATGCATTCACTTGCCCTTCTTGTTGGCTCATAATCTTCGGGTCAAGACCCTCTAATCCTTGGTATAGGTTGACCTCCCTGGTCGTCTGTTCGGTTCATCTTCAGGGACACCACCTGGGAATCGCCCGCACCCGCAGTGCTTGGCCCGACGTCCCGCACCGTCACGCCCAAACGGGGACCGGTGGTGGGCGGGGGGAGCGATCGGATCCGATCGGCCATGGACCGAGAAGCTCGGGTGCAATTCCGAGAAGACGATGGAGGTGCGATGTGCAGGGGCTAGGGGCTGAAGGCTGAAGCGGCTGGTTTGGTCGGGGAGTTGGGGGCGAGGAGGAGTTGGATGAATCAGGTCTCCCCATCCGCAGCACCTGAGATCGGTCGCAAGACATGGTGGCATTCACAGAGAGAGAGAGAGATGTTTGATCATGTTTGATCCAAGCACATTCAAGAATGTTGCTCTTCGTTAGTATTGACTCCAGGATCTTATATGTTTTTGTCAGCAAATGGTATAGGCGCACTGTAGCTATGAGCGCCCAAAGCACACGGAAAAAATAACGCGCCTAAACTCGCGCGCGCATTCTCAAAACCTCAGCTTGTGACTGGAAAATTGCATGCTGAATGAGCACCTAGCCGCACCTCGGCGCGTGGACTGTAAACAAACCCTGCAGCTTCCAAGTCACCCGTTCAAGAAAATTGGTTGGCTTCCGGTTTTGACTAAGTGCAAAATCTTTAGTAAAACAACGTTTTGGGATGTTTTTTTGGGGGGTAAGAAGCACTTCAATGGTGGTAGGAATCCCACAACGAATGGTTGCAATATCAATGAGGTGAGCATCATCCAATGATCCAAAGAACTTCATCCAATTCGATCACATCCGGAGTTATTCTGTTGATGTTGGCAGTTTGGTCCAGGCCAAGACTAGACTCCGGCACTCCGGCACTCGTACTTACAGTCGGATGCCCGGTCCCGGGGTCCTTTGCGTGGAAGACGGTCGTTGTGGGAGCGACCGCCGAAACCGAGACCGTCGTCGGTTCGTTGGGGGAGGGCGCCCATCCCAACCGTGCGGTTCGCGTGGGCGGTGGATGGAAGGCCCGGCCGGCTATCGGAAGCTGGAAGTGCTGGAGACCAGAGACTTGGGACGCAGCCGCTTCGATCGGGTGCCAGACGCGCGATCGACGTTTGGTAAGATGTGCCGAATAATTGAGGTGGTGGTGGAAAAGCGGGGGGGTTCTGTCTGGGGCGGCAGTCCTATGGTAGTCCCATGGAGTTTTTGGCCAGGTCTGACCCAGGAACCCTTTCCGCAAGCAAGAGAGGTGAAAGAGGTTAGAGGGTGACCTGTGGTCAGGGACCCATCACCTGGGGTACCGAACTGGGTTATGTTTATATATAATTATACAGTTCTTCAACCTTTGTTGCAGAATGGTCGGAATACGTTGGAACCCAAAAAATGGCTTGCTTGAAATCCATTCTACCTAGAGAACCAAGAACCCCTAAAGATGTCATACCCTGAAAATACACGAGGTTTTTAAAGAAAACTTCGAGTTTTGTTGACTTCCTCAAAACGATACGATTGCCTACGGGTTTTCTACGGTTTTCTATGGGTTTTCTACGGTTTTTATACGGGTTCCAAACTTAGTGCTTTTGGAAAAGCGATGTGTCGACAGAAACACAATGTTTCTAGTCAAGTGGAGCCAAAACACGATGTTTTCCATCAGACACGACAAATTCGTAGGTTTTGGGTTCCATAGGTAGTGGTTGGGAAGGGGACATCCATGTGATTCGGGATTTGGAGAAACCCACATGGTGAAATGGAAGATCTTCCATGGCGCGGAAGGAGTGCAACAGTTTAGTTTAGCCAGTCTATAAATTTGGATTTGTGCGTTTTTGGTTGGTGTTTTAATTCTTTAATGGTGAAGCTTTCCAGATGAACAGTTATGACTCCTTCTTGATTCGCCAGCTGCCCGACATGTGTTAGCACCACCATGTACTTGTCTCAAAACTGGACAAATCAACATTTGATTCACTTGATCTATCCGATAATATCCACTCCCTGAAATTCTCATGGCTTCGTGGAGTACAAAGCGGGCCATCCCTGTAGTCACGATTGTTCCACGGAGTGCGCCCTTCCTTTGTTGTGGCTTCATCTCTGGGGAGTGGGGAACCAGTTCCGGCGTGCCAAAGACAGGCTCGCCAAACCCGGCGGTCATCGACTTTGATCGATGTGTAGGGCCGCCAGTAGCAGCAAAGACCCTCCCAACGGACCGATCGCGAGCCTGGGGAGTCCAGCCTCGCCCCAGCCAAGCCAAGTGCACCCAAACGCGGAGGGTGAGTTTTGGGCAAGACATCCCAGACACTCCATGGAATTTTCACATTCCAACATTTCGATTTATATTGCTCTCTCTATATATAAATTTATATACACATACCTGGAACCCCAGTCCCAACCAGAAAGAAATTGATGTTTCCCCAAACAACCATGTGCTATGTAAAGGATTTCAATTGCCATATTGGAACAACCATTTGTTTCTGGTTGTTTGGGGTTCCAGGTATTAACAATATGTGAATGTAAGTGCTCAGTTCAGCGAGATGAAGGCTTTCGGATACTAAAACGCCGGTCTTTAGGGTCAATCTACCGCGCCCCTCTCGTCTCGACACGTAACTCACACTCCTGGCATTTCGGACATTCCCCACACACAAACCCGTCTTTCGTGGCAAGGGACATGCCTCGCCCAGCTTTTCAGTGTTCAATCAGAGCGCAAGGCGTCGTGAGTCCTGGTGACCGATGAAAAAAACCCTCCATGGTGATGCGAAGACCTGGTGTACCTGGACCCGACTTCACAAGTGCTTCCTGGTGACAAGTCCGGTGCCCAGGTTCACCACCTGTTAGGGTCTCCAAACAGCCTGGCCAGGAGGGTCTTATATATGTTGGGGGGGGAAGTTTTTTTGTTTTTTTAACACGTACATGTCATTCTGGTGTGTTCTAGTTCTTCCTGCAGTTCTTCGACCTGTTCATTCTCTCCATGGCCAGGATTCCTTTCATGTTTGAGGGGTTGGTTCGGTGGGACCAGATCACTTGGAAGATCTTGGAAGAACTTCCTGAAGAAAAAGAAGCAGTCCCATCCCAAAAAATGAACAACTAGTTGGAACATGTTGGAACCCAATATGGCGCCAGCTTGAGATCCAGCCACGGAAGTGACTCCACGGAAGTGGCTGGGTGGGACTGGCCACCCGACACGTCGATCGTCGCTGGACGCCCCGGCTCGCCCCAGGCGAGGACCCCGAGCTCCACCGAAGCCAGTCGGAGGTCGCGATCCAAGCCATCAGCGTCGAGATCGAGGAGATTCGTTGTGTTTGTTCTCACGATGCAGCGCATCAAATTGGGAGCGTGTCGATGCGTGTGTGTGTGCTTTTTTGTTGTGGATTTGTTTTTGTTCGCATGTGGACATCAGTGCTGGGCATTTCAGTTCATCTCGAGATCTCTCGATGGTCAGCTCCAGTTGGGAAGGCTTCGCATCTGATTCTGTTGCACGCGACAGGCATGGCTCGGAACTGGGGCGTTGGTTTCATGTGATTTTTGGAGACCTGGACCACCCGATTCAAAAAAGATCGTGCGATATGCCAAGGAAAAGTGTGATGCGGGACAAAAAACACAGTATTTAGGGGGAAACATCGGAAAAATGACATATGCTACGTGCCCGGAGAGGTAGAATTGGACCAAAAATATGTTGGTGAAGGGTATTTTTCTCAGGTTTTTGCCAAGGATTGGGCTTCAAAAGGCAGCCTGGTCAAGCTGAAGTGTTTGTGAGGTGTTCAACATGCTGTCCGCAAGTGTCCGCCATATTCCCGCAATTTCAGCCATGGACTCTTCGTCAAATTTTGTAAGTTGCTGCATCTGAGAGTGGCCCCTTCATCAAACGTTGGAATCCAAAAGTTGAACTGGAGAGTTTCCTGTTGCACCAAGTGAAGAGCGCAAGACATGTTTCGCATGACAGCTCATCACAGCTCCAAAGAGCATGTGGTTGGACTGTGTTAGGCCCGTTTGGGATGCCCTCCATGTATGGCTCCCGGGCTTTTCGGCCGGGCTTTGTGCGAGGAGTTGAGGAACCAAGAAACAGATTTGCTCTTCCAGATTGACATGGCTGCTCTGACAAGAGCTTGCGGGAAGTAAGGAATCATGCCGAACATCCAAAGAAAACACACATGGAGTCACATGGAAATGTTCAGCTCATCCAAGCTCACAAAAGATCACATATAGTATGGAGAGAAGGGAGCATGGTGAAAAGTTTGGTTTTTGAGAGACTTTTTGGGGCCTACCTGAACCAGTGCAGGATATTGCTCGCAATATGTAGTCAAAATCCATGGATTTGATTTGGAATGATTGAGAGTCCTCCCTGAACTTCCACTATCTACACTGACTTATTTTGCGGCACATCGTCAGAAATCACAAGCCATCACGGGTCCAATCAGGAATGGATTCTGATCTCCAAGGTGTTTTCAAACCCTGGAGCACTTGAGGAAACCGTCCCTAAGGAGGATCCGTCCATCCGGAGATTGGAAACCCGAATTGGAAGGGTCTTGAGCTCCTCCTTGGGTGGTGCACAATGGAGATCACTCAGGTCCTATAGATGTAGACCAAACCCAGTCCCTACCAGAAGGAAATGCTTGGAACTCGGCTAAAGCATGCTAAAGCAAATGCTTCATGTGGAATGGGTGCCATCATGTGCCATCCTTAGCCCAAAGAGCGTGGGTGGAACTGCCTGGCACACTAAATGCTTCAAGTGCGGTGCTGTAGATGGAGGGTTACCATGCCCTTAGCTTTTCCACTCCAAAACTACTGCGCACCATGGGTGTTCCGACACTTCCGGTCTTCGCTGCTGCCCCTACGCCGAGTGCGCCACCTCCACCCGCTCCGACCAGGTCGACCGGGCCTTTCAAGCTAGGAAGTCGCCCTTGGAGGAGGAGTTGTGGCTCACCCAGGGCCGCATCCACGCCGCCGAGCCGAAAGACGGAGCTGGGGTTCAGGTGTGGCGGGCGCCCGCTCCGAACGGTTGGACGTCCTTATTTCGCTCCGGTGGGAATGTTGGCAGCACTTTTGGGCTAGACCCCTGCAAGTCCAAAGGCTCAGTGTGTTTGAAGGAGCTTAGACCCCCCCCAAAAAAAGGGTCTGTAGATGGCTCGAGCAGGACTTGATGTTCTGGACTTCATCGTCCACTGCTACTCTGTATGAGATGCACGTGGACTCATCCGTTGAATCCCTTCCCACACGCTTCCAACCCCCCCGCGTGGGGTGGTCACACCCCGATCCGATGTGCGAAACAATGGGGTCAAGTGCTCGAACTGCCGAGTTTCACGGCCTTTGACGGTGGTGGTGGTGCCGGGGGGGGGTTTGTTTGCGGCGGCAGTCCGACATGGCAGTCCCATGGGTCGTGTCTGGGGATTGTTTGGATTGTTTTGATTCCACAGAGTTCAGAATGTTTGATGGTTTCGTCCTGTTTTGTCCAGGTGCTGCATTGCCCTGCCCTGGGGCCCTTTGGGGGGAGAACTGGTGACGTGGGCCACAAATTCCACAAACGAGTGCATGAATTTGCATGAGCCTTTTGGGGGGGCTTTGCCCGGAAAACTCCCAACAACAACAACTACTACTACTACTACTCCTACTGCTACTGCTACTGCTACTATTGCTACTACTGCTACTACTGCTACTGCTGCTACTGCTGCTACTACTACTGCTGCTACTGCTACTACTGCTGCTGCTGCTGCTGCTGCGGCTGCCGCTGCCTGACCTGACAGGTAGAATTGAGAACCAACTACTGCATGTACCAGGACCTTCCAAGAGGTTAGCCTCTCAGAGGTTAAGGGGTGTCCCAAAACCACCGTTGAAAGGTCCTGGCTACATACAATCAATTGCAATATAGTTTTCACTGCCAAACACTGGTAGTATTGCAATAGATTGGATATCATTGGTTAGTTCACCAATCTATTGCAAACACCATTGCAATACTCCATGGTGTATTTGCGATGTTCTTTGCTCGTGCTGGAACTCACGCTCGGTTCATCTCTCGTCCGAGGATAAAGAGATGGATTTGTGGAAGCTGGAGCATGGCGACGACACGGCACCCGTCAATACCCGCTTTGCATGGGTTCAGAGTTGGTGGTTTAGCACCTGGGCGATGAGGATTGTCAGACTGGGCTCTTGGATGGTTTGTAGATCAAGTCTATAGGTTTTGGATGACTTTTGACATCAGATTTCTTTAAGGTTCTGGAGCTGGATTTTGGACTAGAAATGAGCAACCCGCTATATTACAATCAAAGCATATCAAAGCTTACTCTCAGTGAAACGAGCAGCTGCAACCCGCATGTGCCTGTGCCCCTCAAATCAGCGGGTGCATGCCATGTGAGTTTCGAACTTTGTCAGTAGAACTTACGCCTACCATGAGAGGGAGTCTTTCCTAGGGACCATTGCGAGACTTTCACCTGAGGCACGCTTTGTTCCCTAGCCACTTGGACACACGGACAGGGACGGGGGGGGAGCTGCTTCCTCCTCACACCCCCACACAGCCTAGCTGCCTAGCTCCAATGTTTACATCCTTGTTGATCTTGTTGGTCCAAGATTCACTAGATCATAACCCAGACACTCCATGGGACTGCCATATATGCCTACATTGGGGTGGTTTGGGGGGTCAATGTAAGCATATATGGCAGTCCCATGGAGTGTCTTGATACATCATGGGCGACAACTCGCCCCGGCAAGGGCGAGATCCGCGGATGAGATCGTGTAGTCGTGAGCCCTACACCTCCAGTCGTACCTCCTCAGGTTCGGTATGACTGGACCCGACGTTTTGGCACCCGCCCCAGTCCCACCTTCTCAGAAGGTACGACTGGAGGCCTAGCAGAGATGTAGCGATCCATCGCCGAATCCGATTCGACCTTCAGTTGATGGGAGACACCCACTTGACCCCTTCTGTCTCCAATCACCGATATGGGGAACCGATCTGGGTGCGGGGAACCGGGCACCGGGCGGATCCTGGATTGACCACAGAACATGAACGGAATAGACGGAGGTCCACCTAACAGGGTCCGTTCCGAAACGGGTGCCATGCCACAGAGCCGTTGAACTCCGGGCTCCAGTCGTACCGAAGCGCTTCGGTTCCGGTGGGACGACTGGGGTTCGGGTGCCAGGTTCGGGTACGTCCAGTCATACGGAACCTGAGGAGGCACGACCTCAAGCCTTAGGGCCTAAGCCTTAAGGGACTGATCCTTCCCATGTCTTCTTCACGTTCAGGAAGTCCTCACAGCCTGCCTGTCAGCTCTCGCCTCGAGAGCGCATGTTTGAGTTCGAGCATGGCGCGGGCGCTTCTGTGTCCGTCCTCGGTCCGCCGGGGTTCCGAGGACGAAGGTGTTTCGAGGACTCGAGGACGCCCACAGGTTGAATGTTCGAGATCCGTTTTGGTTCTCTAATTGCAAAAATCGTTCGTTTTGGTAAAGGCTGCATTTCAGCAGAACAGGGGGACACCTGTAAGAACGGCGTTGTTTTGTCATGGGTTCTTTTTGACCCCACATCCACATCCATCCGGTGCCTTCTCCGTCTTCTCCTGAGTTTGTGCCTCCAGGTGATCCTCGTGAATTTGATCATCATGTTTCTGCAAATGAAGAACGACGCAGAGCAAGCAAGTAGCCACGCAAGTAACCACAGGAAAGTAGCCATGGGTACATTCAGAAATGAGTACTATACTATATTCATGTGGGGGATCGTGGGGGTCTGGAACGCGGACATGCGGAATACTGTAAACCAGAACTATAAAACGAATCGCACCCTACAGATTGGATAAGCAAGTGTTCAACTCCAAGTGGATTTATTTGGCAGCAGGTCCATATGACAGACCCGGCGCTCGGCTCGTGTGACTGTGACCCGTACCGTACTCGTGTTGACTGAGGACAAACTGCTGGGTGATTGGTCGATCTACGTCGACGTGGCCTTTTTGACGTTCTACTGCTTTGAGCTCATCGTCAAAGGCTGTTGCCACTGGGCAGAAAAGAGGGAGGGAGTACTCTAGCTTAGACTCTCCGCTTTCTTGTATGTGGCCTGGGTTTGATCATGGGGCCCTGCTCATGAGGAGAAAGACTCATAGAGACATATCACATATCATATCCATTCCAGGACCTTCCAACAGGTCACCACCTGCGACTTTTAAGTCTACAAAAGCCTCCAGGTCGGAGACCTGTTGGTTTCGGTGCTGGTTGAAGGCCCTTCGAAGGATATACCCCTGCGACCCGGAACTCCCCCCTTTCGGCCGCGGGCGAGGGCATTGGAACGGATGATTGAGGCCACGAAGCCTCGGAACGGAGGATGAAACTGTGTCACCCCGGGCATCTACGGTTGGAGAGGTGAGAAGAATGGCAGCCCCAAATCTGAGAAGGGGAGAAGCCACTGACATTGGGGATTGTGCCATTGATATTCTGAAATCAGAGATTTATAGAGGTTTAAGCCTCCTCTTGAGAGGCAAGAGAAGACAACGGGAGTGAATCCAAGCTGGCGCTGGTTGTTCACGCTTCTGACCAAAGGGTGGGGTGTTTTTGTCACTTGCACCTTGGGTGAACCTCCAAATCGCCTCCCCAACATGGCACCTAATCCAATCAAAAAAGAAGAGAACCAGAAACCATGTGCTTTTCACCCGTGTTTTCATGCTTTGCCCCACCCCTCTGCGTTTTGCGTGTGGCCACCGCGCGTGGCCACCGCATGGATCTCTACGCCGAGGTTATGAATCCTCTTTGCTCTTTGGACACTGTTCGGTGGTTTGGTGGAACTGGTTAGATTTGGTGATCGTGATGAGCGGATTGCTGGAGACTCGGATTGCTGGTTCGAGGAGGAGGATGGACACGCGATGGACTGCAGTATGGAACCATATCTGCCTGGATCTTCGCACCAGGTGCAACCGTTCGGCATTTTTATGGCTGGTTTTACACATGAAAAGGTGGACATGTTGCACAGTTGAAAGATGGTAGATCAATGTAAATCACTAGTAAAACCCCGCGCCGATAGATATCAGCGCCCTCGCCGGGAGTGGATAACCTGCAAAACCTTCTTGAGGATTGGCTTTCCCTACTAACATCCCAGTGACAAAAGATGATAAAAGCCAGGACCTTCAATTTGACCCTTTGATATCCCAGGATGAGGTCACTTAGGTCTGTACAAGGTCACTTAGAGACTCCAAAGAGGTCACGAACTGAAGAGGATACTCTCTTTCCACGGAAACTTCCGAAGTTAGAAGTCAAACGTGAAGCACAATACGCTATACGTCTGTTACGCTTTTGATGGAGTGGTGCTTAGTCAGGAAGTCATGGAGGAAGTAGCTCGCCTCCAATGGTACATTCCTGAAAGGATCATTTGCCACCCTCTTTCCCCCGCAGTTCCAAGATGTGGGGATTGTCCTTGTCCGACTTCGTGCCGAACGAAGTACCCCAGTTCTCTTCCCGGTCTCTTGTGCTCCCCACGAACGTCAGACCGAACGCGAGGCATCCAAACCGACCGGTCGGTGTGCTGAGGAGCTGGTGATGCCTTTGTTGGTGTCTGGGAGCTCTCCGATCCATCTCAGTGGACTGCGGGGATTGAGACGCTCGGCGGATGGAGGATGCGCCTGGCTTGGGGGAATCGGTTTGTGGCGGAATCTCCTTGTGGGTCCTCCTGGGTCCTCCTGGGGAGTAAGTGTGAATTGATATATTTGACTGTGTTGTTTTGCCATTGTTCCTTAAGCAAATCCAAGAGTGCGACTTCTACTTTTGAGCCCTGAGTTGGAACATTTGAAGGGATTTCTCCGGAGTTCATGGGCACACGGATAATGGCGCCAGGTCGCGAATGACAGGTACATGTCATTTGGAATGGGCAGTGCCTGTTCATTCTTGGATGGCACACATCACGATCGAGGACTCCCCACAAGGCAGTGATATTAATTTCAGTATAGGATCCATGGGCAGCGTGGTTGCATGTTTGGAAAGTTTGCCCGGGTTACCCTTGGAAGGTTAAAGCAAGTATGCCTATCTTGGCGGGTCCGTGTTCTGTGAGTCATGCACATGCAAACTCTCCAAATTGGGAATGTCCTTCGAACCTATGGAAAACGCATATTGCTAGGATTCATGACCCACCATTGATTTAATGGTTCTTACCGAACAATATCAACTAATTAATTTGTTGCGGAAAAGGAACATATTGCGCCACGGAACGACCTATGTTTAGAATGGTCTTAGAAACCCAGGGTACTGTTTGTATAATAACTTGCTGGCCTTTTGGTTTCGCGTGACGATTCACAGCTCTTTGCATCCTCCAAGGAGTCTTGCGGCTGTCCCTTGGCAGTCGACGTGGGTTTAGCGTGTTCATGCATGTTCCGTGCTGATCATCAACTCATTGTTTGATTCCAGGTTGAGCTGACCAGGTAGTTCGCTACAGGCAACCAGGTTGAACGCAGTGAGGCCTTCATAATGGCTTATATTCCACAAAGATGGTGACTTAGTTGGTCACCCTAGTGGAATCATGCCACTGAGTATTGGATTGAATGTTATAATTTCCATGCTCCCGTGCTTGATATCCTCCGATTTGGGGCGGGGGTTGCATCGACTTTGCGCAAAAAGCATCAGATCAGTCAGATCAGCTCTGCACTGACCTGAACCCAGCGTGCCCTGGAATCTTTTGAGTTACACTTCATCCTCCGGCATCGGACGCCCACAGTCGTATTTCTCTGGAGCTTAGTGCATACTGCATATGATTTCCCATTATTTCCCCTATCATTTAGATTCCCAGAGTCTAGAGTATCTTAAGAGGGTATTCTATAGTAGGGGTCATTTGATGTTATTGTTTGAAGCATCAGAAGTACCGAACCACACCTTCCGCACGATGGTCCTTTCGGGCCTGGCCGCCTAGCCTCCTAGCCTCCGCCTCCGCCGAGGCTCCGACTGGCGCGGATCGCCCGGGGGCTCAAGCTCTTGCGGTTCTTGGTGCAGAGTGATCTCAGCTGGACCCAGCATCCCGCCTTCGCCCCTCGGAACAAACAAACACATCCGGAACGAGCGAGCGAGAGAGAGAGGCTTTTCGCTTTGCTTTCGAGAGGCAAATACAATCCATAAGGTTTCAACACATGTCATAGGACGTATATTACTAGTAAGTTGGTATCCATGCAGATAGAACTCGATCATCATTCTATGCATGGTTTTGACCCGTTTTGACCCTCAATCCGTCCGCCGGACGCCGGGACACGCCGCTTGCGCGTGCTGTCGTCGCTAGCTTCTGTCTCCCACTCAGGAGACCGCCATGATGTCCGTGCCTTGTCTCTCAGGTCTGTCGTGTTCCGCGGCGGCGGAGCCGGGAATGGTGGGCTTACGGACCGGACGGCAGTGGAGTTTCCTTCCGCAAGTCCGGTGATCTGACCGGAAAGGCGCTACCTTCAACAAGGATCCAGCTGCTTCCTGTTTGACCGGGCCCGACGTATAGCGGTCTCCATGAAGGGCACTTTGTAAGGAAGCGCTATGTTGATTTGTTGGTTGGATTTCGATGACTTCGTCTCCAAGTCCCACTCAGAATGTGGACGAATTCAACGAGTTTGAGGAAAGATGGTTGGTAGACCATCACAGCACGCCTCAACCAGAAGATGAAGATCCACGCAGATGCTCATGGACTAACCCCCCAAAGCAGAGGTCACACCCTCATATGGAGATGCCCTGGAAACAAATATAACTATTAAACTTATCTGGGACTTCCAAGGAATCACCAATGATCAGATCTCTTCTATAGCCCCCGCTTATCTCAATACATCGACATCGGCGGTGGTGGTGTTTTTCGTTTATTCCTTTCAATGCCTTTTCACTCACGGAAGCGCCGAGGTCATTGTGCTCAATGCCATTGTAATGTGGCTGGAGTTGGACTACCCGCTCCCCGTTTGGACACTTGGTAACAAAAGGGTCGTTCAAACGGTTCATCGCATATGTAAAAAGGTGTGCCGTCCGACACGTGCTGTCCCATCCGCCTTATAGATGGTGAGGTCATCCCCTCAGACATAGTGTGTGAATTCCAAGAAATCATCAGAATTGAGAGGGGTTGAGAGATTTTTTCTGGGGATCTCTTAGCAACCTTCACAGAAAGATCTTCGGGCCTGTTTGAAGGGTGAAACTGCCAGAAGGCTGGCATTGAAATATTGAACCTGCCACTAAACTTTCCAAAAAGAGACAGTGCCTCGAAATATGCTATAAGACATGTATTATTTGGCGTGTGCATTGGAATCATGTTGTGAAAAATGTGTTGCACAAGCCTAGAGGAAAAGAAAAGAAAACGAACAACACTGATCCAACTAAGCCCATCCCAGGACCTTCCAACAGGTCACTACCTACGACTTTTCAGTTACAAAAGCCTCCAGGTCGGAGACCTGTTGGTTCGGTGCTGCTTTTTGTTTTCGCCTCAGGAAGTGGGTCGAGGAGTTTTTCCTGGTCGTTTATGTCTTCGAGCTCTCTGTGCGCCTGCTCTACTACGGCTGTGGGCACCTCAGCGTGCACCGAGAGCCAGGGGGCCGCAGAAGGGCCTGAAGGGTGGGTTCATATACAATTGGTTACACCTGGAGTCACATGACATGGAGTTGGGTGGATTTGGGTGGTGTGGTGTTTTATAGTCCCATGCAGTAAGTGGGACGTGGCATTATTACTTCCTCCATGGATAGCACCCCGACAAAAACACGGCTGTTTTACCTGGTAATCGAGGATCTTCCAAATACCACATCCTCAAAAGCATTCTATTATACACAAAGTGTAGCGTTTTTGGGACGACGCAACGATACTTGTTTGCTTCTTTTACACGGCTTTGTTTTTCCACACAGTGAGCAGTGAGCAGAAGAGAGATTGTATATCGCGGCACATGCCAACAACGATCAAGCACGTGGCAAAACCACTTTAAATTAAACACCGGTTTTCAAAACCATCCCATTTTACGGCACAAAAAGGTGTAACACATTATACGTGCAGGAGTCTCCGCTTTTTTTGGATTCGATGGGATTACAGACTGGCTGGGTATTCATGTGTTTCTTTTACATGAGGAGCCACCGGAATTGCAAAACACACGGGTTCACGTTCCTTTTTGGCTCCAAGCCAGGTTGAAAAGTGATCACACCTTTCAATTGCATTTAAACAATAATTGTGAAAAAGTGGACATCAAGAATGGGAAAAGTGGATGATCAGTGGATGCCAGTTGGATACCTGGAGGTTTCAGGTTTGCACAAGCGAGGCTTCAGGTTCCAGAGTCCAAAATCAGTTGGAGAGCTTGGAGAGTAGTTAGTAGCGACCCTACACCTCCAAGTGCCTCCTCAGAAGGTATTTGGACCCTCCAAACCCGCCCCAAACACCTCAAAAGGTACTTGGAGGCCTAGGGCGAGTGTAGTTTGTTAGGAATCAGTGACAGTTTGAAATAGTAGTATATAGTGGGTTTAACAAGACGGTCTCAAGTCTTGTTGAATCAACTTCGCCCAGGCCTGGTCAGGCCTGGTCTTGGGTGTGCAAACCTTGTTTAGAGATGTTCAGAGGGAATTCATCAACCGTGCACATTCATGTCTACGGCCCACGGACTTCTGCACCACACCATGCGGCTGGGTCAACCACACGACGCGGCCCGCCGAGACATCGAAGGTCATATCGAGACTCACGTCGATGCGACTGATGGGACCTGCCGGATGTTGGAGAGGGGTGGCTTTCCCCACGTCGATTTGGAGAGTGGTATATATCCAAGGTCCCAGCCCTCCTCATGCGTGGGACCTGGGACAGGGACCGCCTTCTGAGAAGGTACTTTGTCCACGAGAATTGGACATGGCATTATCTCGATTTTGTGATCGTCCTGTTCGGAGTGGCGGAGCAGTGGATGTTGCCCTTGTGGCACGTCATCTACCACACACTCTTTGGTGGCTGAGCTGGGGAGGAATCGCGTGCGGTTGAACGGCCAGTTTGGATCCAGTATGAGGGTGCTGGTAGACTGAATGCTCACCTGGGTGTTGGTTTGGTGAGTTCATTTGTACGATTTTTGCTTTTGGGATGTGAAGTGGATGCTTCCACCGTTTCGTGGAACTGTGATCTCTGCTTTTTTGGGGCATCAGTGCGGTGAGTATTCACTGTACTCTTATAAATTAGGTAGGGACATGTAGGAAGGGACAAGTGGCATGTTCATTTGGGCCCCCTTGTGTCACTGGGTGTGCCGTCCTTGCTTTTTGAGGCAGAAGGTGTTGAGAATCCAAGGCTGAAAATCGCAGAGCCACTGGTTTCTAGAGGACAAAGGCCCTCCAAAGGAGCCATTGCCATCCGCGTATTTGGCAACACCTGCCACCCAAACTTGCACGGTTCTCTTTAAACTTGGCCCTCTTTTTGGTCCTCACCAGCCAACGGGATCCGGCACGCTCGATCCCTTCTGCCCGAGCAGCCCGATGCCCGGGCAGATCCCGGATCCGAGAAGAGGAGAAGAGGAGACTCCCTAGGGATCCAAGTACCTTCTCAGAAGGTGATTGGAGGCACTGTTATGTAGGTTTGGAGGGTCCAGTCGTACCGAACCTGAGAAGGTACGACTGGATCAGACTCCGAAACAGGTGCGACCTCCTCCACCTCGATCTCCATGAGCCTGGTCCGGTCCCTCCGCATCGTCCGCGTCTTCCGGGTGCTGCGCCTCGCGCGGCTCCTGCGGGGCGTCAAGCAGCTCTACAAGCTCCGCGGCCGGGTGGGTGGGTGGGATGGAGCCCCTGTGCAGAAAACGCAAGGACGTTCAAATGGAATGTGTCCTCTATAGATCTATATAGACCTGTCCTGGAGAAAATACGAAATGACAAAACGGTGGTAATCAAACAACTTCTATATTGGGGGCTACTCCAAATGGTACTGGAGAGCATGCCCGAGCATTGTGCTCCACAGCTGGACCATGTTGTTCTAAAGTCTTGGAACAACCGCCCTCCCCTAAGGCAAGGCCAAGCGCGAACCGCTGCCGGACGTTTGATATCTTAAGGGCCCAGACGAGAAAACAACAGCCTGACAGGTCCCTCAAGAACTGGGGATTTGAGATCAAAACGACCCCTCCAACTAAGGAACAGGTCCCTCCATATGAGGGTCCAGGAGCACTTAGGGGGATATATTTTTGGAGTTTTCTACCTGTAACACCACCATCCTCAAGCGCGGTGGAAGACTTCTCCGCATGTGCCGGGCCGGAGCTATAGTGCTGGAGTTTCTCTTTCACCCCTGCTGACGCATTACTTGATGGGGCATGTCCTTTCCACCGGGTGGTGGCGGAAAAGGAAGCAGAGATTGAGGTGAGTAATTATTGCAGTGTGGCAGTAGTTGAATGATAGATGACCACCAAAACCACAAGCGCAAAGGCGTTCTGGGCGTCTTAGCCTTTTTGTTTTTCATGTTCTCGAGATTCGTGGGAGCGCAAAGAAGTTATCAGGTCCGTGGTTGGTCTAAGCACAGGCTCTCCTGTTGAAATATCAGTTATTCCGAATAAGCAGATCCCTTTGAGGGCAATTTGACCCATGGGATGACATGACAACGCAGGTCCGGTAGCTCCGCGCTCGGATCGAGTGCTTCTTTCTTTGTTTCTTCGAGAAGTCGAGAGACCTGAACTGGGCCCCTTCTTGTGGTACACATTTGGGACCCAAATAAGGCCATGAAGAAAAACGTCTCTCTCTCTCTCTCTCCCAGGACCCTCCAAGGGGTGCCCAATGGAAGCCTAGAGGTAGTGTGGGGTAGTCCATTGGACACCCCTTGCAGGGTCCTGGTCCAGGTTCTTTTCGTCTCCCTCTCTCTCTCTCTAGGTTGATTCACGGAGTCGTGGAGTCCATGGCCAGTGTTGGATGGGTCATCATCTTGACCTTCATTTTGCTTCTGGGCGCAGCGCACGGCTTCGGCTTCGGCGCACGGCGCGGCGCACGGCGCCTCCCCGAAGTCTCCCGCGAAGTCATGGGCTGGGTAGTCCATGCAGGACACCCAGGACAGCTCCTGGGCGGTGTGCCGAGATGATGCAGCCTCGACATACGGTATATTGGTCACAGTGAGGGGGGGGTGATTTGAGGTGTGAATCGAGCCCAAACGCGGGACGGCCCAGTGGGTGGCCTACATGACTGGTAAATAGGGTGGTGTTCCTAGGCTGGCCACCTGTGAAAAACCTGGAGCGTCAAGGGGTGGGATCATGGGCTGTTGTTTTAAATGTCTGTGGAGCAGCTCTGAACCTGGTTTTGGTGGCTGGGGGGGGTTCGGACGGGGGCTTGGGGCGCGAGCCACTCCCCCAAGTCTGCTAGAACAACAAAGATCAACAGGTGCCAGAATTGATCAGAACAGCGAGAATCTAGGACCTCAAAGCTATACTGGTCAAGCCTGATGGCTTTCAACGGCTTTAAACACCATGGACCTCCAAAACCGATGGTGAATGGACACCCCTTGACCTCCTCTGCAGACTGCAGACGTGACCACGTCGTCTCGGGGCCGTGACGGGATCGGTCGCGCACCCAGGTTATACTCGGCCTCCTTGGTCTTTACCACCCTCGTGGGCCGCGGCTACATCTACGAGGCGCCATTCCACGCCGATTCCGGAGAGAGAGGGACGGTGGATTCGACGGCGGTCGAAGACCGCGGGAGGGAACCACGGAACGGGAAAGGCAGGGCGTTTTGGTTGGCTGCACTGCACAGTGATCGTGGCGATCTATTGTGGTACAGTTCTGGTTTCTTGGCTTTTTTTCACGTGTAACATCGTTGCATCTCATTGCGAGAGGCGACCATCCGCTCATTCGTATCTCGTGTGCCAAAGTTGGAACAACAAACGTCGACAGCCATGCGCATGGAGACAGCAACGGGCCACAGGCCGCGGTAAATCCACATGGATTGATACTGTTAACCAATCCCTACAAGTCAAAGACCTCATTTTACTGGAGATGGTCATACAAAACCAATACTTAAGGAGGTCAAAGACCAGGTTCTACTGGGTCTTTGGACTTGTAGGGAATAGATGAACGAATATGGGTTTCTCCACCTAACAGGCCCCCTACAAGCCTAAGTGGTGCCAACAAGGACGCAAGAGGAGCGTGGTATTTTAGATTGAAGTGTAGGCCAAGAACATGGATTCAATTGGCCCAAACTATTCCGCACTGCCATGTAATATGATGCCACCAGTGCTTTCAGCGCTTCAAATAAATGAATAAACCCTCACCAACCACGCGAACCGCATGATCTATGATGAGTGGAAGGCACGTTACTCACAGCATCTGTCGTACCCGGATGATCCAAGAGCTCTTAAGTCAGTGGTCAATCCCTAGAGATCCACATACCTTCTCAGGAGGTATGACTGGGCCCTCCAAGCCTACATCAATAGTCTCCAATTACCTTCTGAGAAGGTACCACTGGATCCCTAGGGTCAACACTGAACTTCTCGGACAGTCGCCGACACAGCACAGCAGAGCCGCCCCGGTTTACGGAAATCGTCTATAAAATGTCATATCATCAACATGTATATATCCTCGTGACCATTTCCACTATGAAATGCAGGGCCTCAAGGCACACCATGGAAACGCACACCGGAATATGAATGATCATATCCCGGATTACATGGACCCCTTGATTCAACCACCCACTGTCATGGGTACGGTCTGGGCCCCAAGACGTCAGACGCAGCAGCCGCAGGGCACTCACCGGTCTCACTTCGGTCGAAGCCTCGCACGGTTTGGTCGCACTGGTCGAGGATCCGGAGGACGTGCCCGATGAGGCCATGCTTTACTTCGGCACCGTGTGGCGTTCCTTGGGCGGGCAGCGAGGAGAGGGAGGCTTCGATCCCGTTCGACTTCCAGAGGTGACGGGTGGGGAGAGAGAGAGAGAGTGAGTGAGTGTGAGTGTGAGTGAGATTGAGTGTGAGTGAGAGTGACGGTTGGGGAGAGAGTTGGGCCGGTTCTTGGGGCCTGAACTTCGAAGAGTTGGGGAGAGAGTGAGGGGGTGAAGGAGGCAATTGTCAGTCCAAGTGGTCGCGAGTTTCTTCGGGTTCGCTGAAGGAGTCTGCTAAGGATCGTTCCTGGCACTCTTTAAGCTCATGAACGATGACCAGTCCGTGGTCACCCAGATCATTACCACCATCGGCCGCCAGTCCAAAGAACGACCGCGATTTTCTTGTGATTCCAGGGTGGTCAGTGGTGGGTTGGCGGAGAAAGGGTCCTGGTCCAGAATTGGGTGAATCCGTCTAGAAGGGGATAGTTTGGGGTTCCCAGCAGAGGTGGAAGAACCCTTTTTGGATTCCCTAGGGTCCCTATAGACTTACTAAAGGTGCCTCACGGCACCTCAGTATGGTGCTTTTTCAGGTCCCTCTTGCTCTTGTTATACCAGCACCCTCCAACAGGTGCCTCCTAATAACAAGTCCGGCGCCCAAATTCACTACCTGCGGTCGGGTCTCCAAACAGCTTGTTGGAGGTCACCAATATTATATTCAACATTATTCAACATTACACAACATTGCACCAGGAGTCACAAAGGGGTGGTGTTTAGTCCCTCAGTGAGTGGACAAACGCCCCTAACCTTCATGAAGCACCCCTGTGTGACAGCACCCCTATGTTCTTTGTTCCTTCAGCAAATCCACGTCAGTGGTTCTATGCCGGCTCCACGAGCCTTTTGCGAAAACGACCGAGACGAGCGTCCAGCATGGCGCCGCAGGTGCCGGTGGACACCTTTGATGAGTGAAACATGTGTAACATGAGAGACAAGCACCAGGGGCCCCCTGTTTGGGGTGGTTAATAGACACCCATTCACCTCTAAGGAGTTCCTACTTGGACACCCTGGCCCAGGGAGCCCTGGTATAAGAGGACCTGAGCTGCAACACTGCTTTGAAGAAGTTCTCTTAAGATGACCTGGTGCTTCCTTGTTTCATACATTCTCACAAGGTGGACAGTCAACTCACTGGAAAATAGACACAAACTGGGGCCAGGATGGACGGATGATGGACGGGAAACGCCTCTTGTGCTTCACAGGTGGCCAGATCTTGTTTTATGCCTTCATGATGCTCTCCAACTGGATGATGCTTGCCATCCTGACCTCTGCTTCTTGGTCAAGCGACCGGCGCGACTCGCGGCGCGACATCCTGATGTTTGGAAAGGGTTTTTGAATGTGTTTGATGCCCCTCAGTTTTTGCTGAGCAGCCTTGGGAGGTTTTCATCATCGGACCTGCCACTTAGCTAAGTAAAGGTGGGTCAAACAGTCTAGCCAGCGTTTTGCTTTTGCCACCGCCACGTTGCTAAAGCTGTACAAGCACTTTCAGGCCTTCGCTGGAAGCCAGGGAGCCAGGTGAACAACCGGTGTTTCATTGATCTTTGCTCTCCCTCTCTTCCTGAAAGAGGAAGTCCGACCCGGACTCCTGAACCAAAAACCATGTCAATACTGAAACAGGCATTTAACCACAAGCTGGTTACCTTAACCACAAGCTGGTGACCTTAACCTCGCGGGGCAAAAGTGCAAACGTCTGGTCGAAAGTCAATGCACACCACCCGCAGGGTTCCTTTCTTTAGCCCTGGCCCTGCATGTGTCATTTGGTCGCATACTGTACTCGATCACTATAGGTCTTTTTGGTAGAGACGAAGTGTCCCAATCCAACCGGAACGGCCCCGGCACACGGCCGTGAAACGAGGAACGTCACGTCAGGACCTGACGTGACGTGACGTGACTGGCGGTGCGACCTCGCGTGGAGGGTCGATCTCCAATCCCTACTGCCAGTTGTTGAAGTCGAGACGTGTTTTTTTGCAAATAGCAGATAGAAGGTGATGAGCAAGCCAGGAAGTCGATACACTATAGCGTTTCCTTGCAGGATAGAGTGTGTTGGAAGATGTTTTCTAAATGCATGGTTTTATTCAATGGGCTTGGTTTACTCAGCGTTCACAGTGTTTTGATTGCACAAGACCTACCGCAAGGAAGTTGGCAGGCAACCCATAGGTTGTTTCTAGAGGTTTCTATAGGCAGCCCATAGGTTCCCCTTCATCTTGGGATTGTGGGTCTCATATGTCCAACCCTCCAAGGGCTTATAGGGCCAACCCTCGGAAGCAGGGTCCGCGTGGAAACCTGGCTTCCGCTGTGAAGCGGGCACACTATTGAGTGGCATGAACTTGTGCCAGATGAGGTGTGCCCTTGGGGGAAAGCTTGATTGGGCTACCTTCGCTGGTGCTGCCGGTCTGCTGCTGGTTTTCTGCTGCTGCTGCCTTGCTGCTGCTGGTTGGCTACTGCTGCTGCTGGCGGTTGGCTGCTGTTGGTTTGCTGCTGGTTGGCTGCTGCTGCTGCTGGCTGATTGCTGCCGGTGCTGCTGCTTGCTGCTTGGCTGCTGCTGGTGCTGCTTGTTGCTGCTTGCTGCTGCTTGTCGCTGCCGCTGCTGCGACCTGGGCTACAAGGCCTACTCATTTGCTGCCTGTCATTGTCTTGCACGCCCTATGATTATAGCAGGCTTCTTCCATTGCAGACTGGGCATTGGAAACGTGATATCAAGCTTGGTGGCAGGCCTGTTTGGTGAAACGCTTGTCCCATCAACGTGTAGAAGATTGAATCGCAATGGAATGGTGTAGGCTTAGAAACAATCTAGGCTAGGAGAAAAAGTGCTTGTTTCGAAGCGGTGTGCCATGGGGATTGAGAGAGGAATACACATAAGAACGCATAGATATTCTGACGTTTAACGAACCATTCCATGCTGTTTGCACTCCAGGTACAAACTTAAAGCTGGTACCAACATGTGGGTCAGAATCGGGGTGCCATGGGGATTGGATCACGGCAACCCATAGATAACCTTTGAAAACATCAACATGTAGAAGGTTGATGAAGGTTGAATCGCAATGGAATAGTGTAGGTTTAGAAACAATCTAGGAGAAAAAGTGCTTGTCTGGAAGCGGTGTGCCATTTTGTCCAAATGGGGTAAGTTCTTACATTCGTGGGGTAAGCGGTGTGCCATGGGGGTGGGTCAAGTTCATGTGCGATGGGGTAAGTTACCACGTCGGGTAGCTCTCCAACTTGCGTTGCCATTGGGATTTGCAGTTGAAGTTTTCTCTTTTTGGAAAGGTGAATCTGGAGAACCTTGTTCTGTATGTAGCGTTTACAATGGGGAAGGCCAGCAGTCTTGACTTAAGTACTGACTTTTGCAAATCGGCGTTCCATGGTGGTTTAGTATCCCACATGCAAAATGTATTAACTTCAACGGGCACCAGTAGGGATCCGGTCGTACCTCCTCAAAAGGTACTTGGACCCTCCTGGCACCCACTCCAGTCCCTTCTCAAAGGGTACGACTGGATCCATAGGAAATGGTGTGCAGGGTTCAGACATGCCTACAGAGGTTAAGTGACCGTAAATAGGACCCTACAGGGGTACCTATAGGATAGGCGAACTAGGGTTCTTCAACCTCTGCTGGTGGTTTCGATCTCGGCCTCTCATCCGATATGGACCTTCAGATCCAGAGATCGATCTGGAGGCTTGTGGGGCACCCGACTTGTGAGCAGGTTCTTGGTGCTTTTGGAAACTTTTTTTTGGAAGCCTGGAGGCTTTTTCGTTTCATCCATCTTCACGATAGGTCTACAGGTCTCCTACAGGTCTTATAGCTCTATAGGTCGACTTCTCCACCCGGTCGGTGACCTCATAGTTCTGTGGTGCCATGGCACCGACCGTGCGACCTCGCCACCGCGACGGGAACCGAGAAAGCGGGCGCCGGGTTTGGCCGGCCGGGGTTCGAGGTCATCAGCGACAACATGATGACGGTGTCCCGCACCAAGGAGGAGGAAGACCGGAAGAGGCACGCGCCCCAAGGATAGACCGGTATGGCCGCCAGAACCGAGCAATACGTGCGGATCCGGCGTTGGTTTCGGGGTGGAAGGGCGGAAGGGACTGTAGGATGGAGATATGATGAGAGATGGATTTGGGCATAATCAAGTGCATGGCATGGTGAGATAAGAGTTTACAATTCCAGCATGTTCCAGCAGCGTTGCAGCATCACCCTGTCAGGGTGGTTTGATTGGACCCATGGCATATGTGTTCCACACACACCGTCTGGTCAGGGTGCTTCTGGTTGGAAGAAGGTTAGGCCAGTGATTCCTTTTGTTTGAGGGAAAGGTTCGAGAAGATGATCGAAAAGGGCTGGCGACTCGCCAACTTGTTTCCTCAGATTTAGTGAGAGAAGTCGGGTATAGGGCTGGGAACTTCCTCCATCCCTGAAATCATGATAAATGATCGTGGGGATGGCACCACCTCCTTGACACAATATAAACCCTATAGGATTCAATCTACCATTAGTTTTGATCTGTTTCATGGTCTTTACCAATTAACTATTGTTTTACTCAGGATTTTTACACTACACCACCAGCTCAACATGTTCTTTTAAATGCAGGGTTTACATCAACAGCATGCCATGTGTTTCTTCCATGTGTTTCTCCGCATCCCACAGGTCTCCGCCATCCAGCCGCCCACGTCGCCCACTTCGCGCCAGTTCGCGTCTCGACAGGTCGATGCAAGACCGCGCGGAGATGGCGAAGCGTCGGATCACGCAGATCTTTCAGCCGCCCGGATTCGCGGTGGCGCCGGTGGATTCCACTCCGTCTCAAGAAGTTTCAAAGTCTTGGGTTTGAGCGGCAGTAAGTATAGGAGTACAGGCTAGGTGAGTGGTAGATCTAGGTGGTTTCGTTTTGGGAGATTCCAATTTAGAAGCAACCAGTCTGGGAGGGAACATGTGGCATCGTACCAGCACCACGGATTCGGGGTGTCCATTTTTGACACCCCTTAGAGGTGAAGAGGTGTCCATGGCCTTGGGGTCCCCGTATGGTATTCGGTGATTGGACGTAGCGATTTCGAGGTCATGTTCGGGTCCCAACCGAGCTTATTCTGGGAGATCTCTCAGAGGGGTGCTGATAAACCTTGTGCTTCGGAAAGGAACCAGCGATGGTTCTTAGCCCTGGCGCTGGGCTGCCACAAACTGAGGGTCAGCACCAGTGAATAGCACCATCAGGTCCCAGATGCTCAGCACCCAACATGGCCTAGGGCCTAGAGAGGTTCGATGCCACTAGTTTCACCAAGTTTGGTGGCTTATGGACCCCCGTTTGTCCACGTCATTTTGGGGTGCCAGTGGCATTTCTCACCTCTGATGGCCCACTGTATATGGAGCGTTTGGGAGTAATTCATTCGATGTTCTTCGGGCTCACTAGTCTCATTCTCCATGATTGCCAATGAGCCCCACTTCGAGAATCCTGACACTATATGTTTGCGGTGTTGTTTGCAAGCTGGGTTGGTTTCCTTCAAAGACAATGGAGAGAGATGGCATGATATGAATATGAAGTGCCTACTGTGAAGATCTATGAACATGTTGACATCCAATATAAATTCAGCCATCTATACTACTACAGAAAACGCAAAAACCAAGTCACCCAGGGAAACGTCGGAATGCAAACAAAAATGCAAACCAAATGCGAAAACACCACATTTGTCCGGATCCACTAAACAAATGCAAAAAAAACAGTCACAACAAATGCCACAAAAATGCACACACAAATTCAAACTAACAGTCACAACAAATGCGATCAAAAACGTTCTGGTCTTTGCCTTTGCATGTGTTTGCGTTCTGTTTGCTGTGTTGTTCTTTGTGCGTTTCCTTGGGAAAACGCAAAAAAAAGCACATCACAAAAAACATGAAAAAAACACATGCAAAGACCATCGCACATATCAAAAAACGCACAAACATCACAAACAAATACGCACAAAAACGGGTGGGGTGTGTGATTTGGTTCGTTTTTTGGTGCATGTTTTTGGTGCGTGTTGTTCGCTTTTGCGGTGCGTTTGCGGTGCCCTTTGGGGGCATTTCCTGGTGATCATTTCTGAGTGTGTTTTTTTGCATTGTTTTTGTTTTTTTTTTGATGAGCGCATTCTGAACAAAGAGGCTACAGACAACTGTCGACGGCAAGCGCAAGAGTTTTTTTTAATGAATCCACTTGAGATTTTCAGAGTTAGGCTGTAAGGCACATCATCAACAGATGACAATGAAACATGTCATGTCTCAGAATAATTTAGCAAGCCTTAACAACTAGTAAGGCCAAAGCAAACCTTATTTCATGTTTAGCTTCTATTTATACATTGTGACCGTGTTTTTCTTGTGAGGGCATGGGCATGTGCTTTTTGATTTCTATTCTGACCCTCGGAATGCGCCTTTGGAACGCCTCGCGCGGATCTGAGGAGGCTGGACGAAGATCACAGTGGCTCCATCACCGAGGACGAGATGCGCCAGTAGCTCCGCCCCGGTTTAGGGACGAGACCGCGGTGTCCACGGTGGAGGGTGACCGGATGATGGGTCAGTCAGTGCAGAGCTACCCCAATGCAAAGCTTCCCGTAGCGACCCTGAAAAAAGAGTTCGGTGGAACCTGGTATTTGGATGTATGACAGGCACTGTTCGTGTAAAGCCCGTGAAGGCTCTATAAAACATGTGGTTGTTCGGTACGGGCTATTGAACGAATGGTAGGCCAGGAAGCCTTTTTGAGGCATCGAAACTAGGCCCTTGGAACCTGGAGGGTTGGAATGTCTCCCTTCAAAAAAGCCTGGCATTTGGCTGTGGGGCAAGGACATTCCCCAAGAGCTCGATCCTCAAGATGGTGATTCATACAGGAGTCATATGGAGTTGGGTGGAGTTTAGTCCCATCCAGTGAGTGGATGTTTTGGGCACCCCTATCCTCCAATAGGCACCCCTCTGTGACTGCTGGCAGGCGTTTGCTTCGTTGTGATATGTCAATGGCCCCCATCAAAGGGCCCGTAGGTGTGGCCCAAAACTCCGGCCAGGGAGCTTCTAAGCAGATGCACTCCCAATGTCACACCCCGATCCGAGTCGGATGGCTTTTCAGGGTCAGATGGGTTTCCAGCGGGGCGAAGGCTCTGGCCCTACCCTTGAGAACGAGACCCACATGGAACGCGTGGGAAAACCACGGGTGTTTGGTGAGGAAAACGGTCTTCCCATACGTCGACAGAATCAGGTTCCATGTGAATCGTCCGGGGCGCATACCTTTCAGCACCATCCTTTCCATCGACATCCCTGGAGCGCTTTGTTAAAGCGCTGGAGCGCGCGAGCGTCGCCGCGCTCTGACCGAGCTCCCGCGAGGCTTCTGAGTGACTTAGACCTCCAGGCGGAACTCTGTGAGGCAGCAGGATTGCATGATGCCTCAGTGCCTTGACTTTGTTCGGCCGTCGGCTTCGCCATCGGCTTCGCCCTGCAGGGCGCCGACCCATGGACCGAAGCTGACCTGGAATAGCTGAGAAAGGAAGAAAACAGATCTCTTTCAGGAACCCAACCTTCTCCACTTCCATGAGTCTTTGTTCAAGGGAGTGTTCTGTTCCTTCTCGGTCTCCCATTCCACTTTTCAGGCCCAACTCCTTCCACTCCCCCACACTGCTCGGGGATCGCAGGCCACGGCCTCTCCGCGCTCCTAAGGATCTAGTGGAGATGCCACTTGGAGGATCGGAATGCCAAGCAGTTGGCGGTCCAACACCGGTTTTGGTGGTCGGGATATGGGTGCTCTTTTGGGGGTCAGTCCCTACCTTCTGAGGTGGCTGGGAGCGCTCTACCCATATATCCAAGTGGAGAAGGGTACAGAGGAGAATGGGCCACTGATATTTTTTGTTGGAGTGATTCTCTGGGCACTGAAATCGTGGTGTCCAATAGTTTCGCTACGCCCTTTCTGCTGCACCTTCCAAGTGATTTGGGTTGACAGCAGGCTGCCATGTTGTTTAAAACCGGTCATGGAAAGAATCTTCGCGCAGCAAGTTGACTGAAGTTCGTTTACCTAGTGAAACGAAACAGGAGGCCTTCGTAGAATTACTGCACCTATCAGATCACTCTGATAGTGTGCACGCTGTGTGTCCAGAGTTGGTCGAGCCCGTTTCGCGGCAGGTTGTTTGTTCATGTTTAAGTGGTCAACTGGTCGGATTGCTTTGGCTCCATGACCCACAGCCAGTCCCCACGGTAAATACAAAAGCACCGGTGTTAGAGTACAGCTTCGGTCCTAGAGGAATCAACCGCGCTGGGCGGGTTTGTGCCAAGGTTGCACTGCGCCAGTTACAAGAGCAAGGAGGAGGGAAGCGTGATTCTCTACAAGCAATTCCTCACCATGCTCCAGGCGTGGAACCTTCCGCCCTCCGAACGTGCTCGACGTCCGTGGCCTGTTTTGGTGTCCGTGCTCGGTGCTGATTCGGTGCTGGTGCTGGGTAGGTGGTTTGGTGGTTCGGTGGTGAGAAGGCACCCGGACGAATCAACGAATCAACGCGAGATGTGCCGGGACCGGGGTAGACATGGGTAGACCGGGTAGACCATGAAGGGAACCAAAACCTGGACAAACGAAGGAATCATGATGAATCAGGGGCTGTTGTTTAATAATGACCCCCCTACCTGGCGTGCTTCTACAAAATCTATATATAGTCTCCATATAGTCATTTGTATAGTCTATTCATCAACATCTTCATATAGTCTACATATCAACCGGGTGCTTCTACAACATCTCCATTTATAATCATTTTCTACATCTCCATGTAGTCGATTAATCAACAGTCATAGATCGTACCGATCGATGCTCCACCAGCCGATGACGCCATACGACGCCCAGGTAGAGTAGATCGCACACACACACATCTCTAAATATATGCCATATACACGCCATACATGGAGGGTTTGGCCAAGACACAAGGTGCCAGTGACAAGTCAAATCCTAATACCATCATACCCGTCATTCAGCTACCCAACTCACATCCAAGGACTTTCATTGGCCTGGAATATGTAGCATTGATCCCCCAAGCAACCAGCTCGACCACGAAACAGAGCCCGATCCGTGGCAAGTTGTTTTTTCTTTTCTCGAACGGTTTTCAAGATGGTCAGACTTTGCCCACCGGCTCAGATTGATTTGGCTAGGAGGGCATCATTACAAAATCAACGATCTTGGAAGCTTCGTGCCTGAAGTCGAACGATCGTCGAACGCCTTCCTCTTCGCGACGTCCTTCCACGGAGTCCCACCCTGTTCGTTCCTTCTCCTTCTCGACGCGATGAGCGAGTCCGGCAGGATGAGTCTGCGCACGCCAAAGAGCGGTCCATTTTCAAAGTCCTGGAGAACATGCGAGCTGCGAGTCGGCACTTTTGGGGGTGCGTGTCGGCGTTGTTGCGGTACGGAAGGGTTGTAAGTTGCCCGTTTGGCCTCCAGTCGTACCTTCTGAGAAGGTGGGACTGGGGTGGGTGCCAGGAGGGTCCAGTCATACCGAACCTGAGGAGGTACGGCTGGAGGTGTAGGGCTGGTGTTTGTTGTTTCCTTTTCTCAGTGGGCCAGTCGGCCTGTTTTGTTTTTCAGTCGCATGATGTTGCATATTGTTGCATGAATCCGATTGAGCGGATTGAGTTCGTTGCTCAGCTTCGCAGGAAAATGGTTTGCATGTGTTTGGGCATCCCTTTGGTGTTGCCCAAGGATGATTGACACTTTGCAGCCGCAAATGCTGCGGTGTTCAATCACATGCCGATCGGCATCGCGTGTGAAAAATATCCTATGGCAAGTGCAGACTGGACATGAACATACATGTCTCAAATCTTGGAGACGCGGCAAAGAGGATTGGCCATAGAGCATTGGTTGAGAAATGCCTTGAGGACGCCTTCTTGACAACAGGAGACGACGTGATTATATAACTACGTCGATCCGAGACACCCCATGAAACTGGCATCGTTGGCCTTAAAAATCCATGGATCCATGTAACCTCAGCAGCCTAGTTCCAAATACCTTTGGACATACTCCATGGAGTGTTTGGGAGAGAAGGGCAGTGGCGAGCATGGCGAATCCACAAAGCTACCAGGAGTACTTGTGGGTCATCCTTCAAATGTGACCTAATTATGCCTACTTCAAACTGCTGATGCTTTGCCCAGTCAATGGAATGATATGGAATGCCTTGTATTGAGATGCCTAACATGTTTCCTGAAGGGTGGAACATCCCATACACTCCATGGGACTGCCATAGGACTGCCGCCCCAGACAGACCCCCCTGGCACCACCACCCCGATCGGCCGTTTCTCCCAGAATGGCGGTCGCGTCTGGGTACTATACCTAAAGGCTTCGGTCACGGTTTCGCCAAAGGGACGTGCATGCACGTCCCTCAACTGACTCACACTGCAGGGGGACCACCTGAAACCCCCAGGGTCCACGGCCAATTCTCAGGGTCCACGTGGTCCGTTTGGCGGGGGAAGGTCTACGCCGTGGGACAGGGGGGGCCCCCCCGGGCGTGGTTGAAGAAACCTAGGAACCAATCCCAGGTGTTTCATTTCGATCATTTCAATCAAACACTTCCAATGGGTCGGGTGCCCTGTTTGGAGACCTATACGCGTAGGGGAGTCTAGCCAGGACACCCAGACAGGATGACCCTGGGACATTAACCCCCTTTGCAACCACCCCTATGGTGTAGCAACTATGCCAGTCCCAAGGTGTGTGGGAATCCCAGTTTCTCACACCCATCGTCAGCCAGCGAGCGCTTCAGGCCATGGAATTTCGATTGGAGGAGCGCATGAATGCGGCACTACGGCAGCTGAAGATGAACGACGAGCAGATTGAGAAGTTGCCGTCTTTGGGAGATGAGTTGAAGAAGAGCCTTGGATGAAGAGCTTGGAGAGCATCTGTGGGGAATGGCGAAGAGCTTGGAAATGATTTGATTTTGTTGGGCATCAGCGGCATCAGTTCTTCAGAAGGGCTAGAGTCTAGAGGGCGACAAACGTGTTGAGTGAGAACGCCACTTTGCCATCAATCATGTGCGCACAACCAATAAAGCTGCGGGACCTCGGGATTGTAGCCAAGAGCCCAGAAGGAGTCTGGAGTAAGTACACTGAGACTGAAACTAGCAAGACAGGGGCGCACAGGAAGCAGAGTTCGGGTGCACCAGGGAGCGCCCCAAAAGCCATCAATGCTTTTCCCTACACCTCCAGTCGTACCTCCTCAGGTTCGGGATGACCGGACCCGAACATGGCACCCACCCCAGTCCCACCTTCTCAGAAGGTACGACTGGAGGCCTATGGTTTCATTCTTTTGGGAGAACCCCATCCCTTTTGAAACCCCCAGAATCACCGTGGCGAAATCGCCATCCGCAACCCTGCGGGTTCCCCACGCCATCCACAGGATGCAGCAGTTGGAGGACTCCCCCGCGCGATCGGAAGTGATTCGGCTCAACCACTCCGCCAGCATCGCGGCAAAGTCGCCCCGCTCGGAGGCTTCCTCCAGATAAGGCCAATCAGCACACAGTGTGACCTGCGGTGGAGACCATTTGAGTAGGAATGAAAAGCCCCCCTTGGTAAGTGTTCTCTTGGAACTGTGCAGTGCTGTTTACAACTTGCCAATCTAACATCACCCAGGCTACTTATCCTTGAACGCTTTGGACCCCTCCCCTGCGACGGCTCCAAGCATTTTAGAAGGAGGTTGTGTGTGTGTTTGTTTGACTCTCTGAAGTGCACTTGGGGAGCTTGGCACCTGGAAAAAGAGCGGTTGTTTTAGTTTTGTTTGTATGTTTGTTTGTTATTTTTCCCCGCACTCCTGTGGCCAAAGAAACGCCAAGTCGCAAGGCTCACCAGCAGCTCAGTGAAACAAGGTTTGCCCAATTGATTCGCAAAAAGCCACAAGAACACCTGTGTAGCTGTGAAGCGTACGTGCGCTGTTTTGGCTCCAAAAACGTGTCGGCCCACAGCAGTTCAGCGAAAGGGCAGCACGGCAAGGGCACGCCGCTTCCCACAGCGCGACGGCTTCGGCCCCCGAATGGGGGGCGAATCGATTCGGTGTGCCTCTGGGTGATGACCTACACCAAAAAAGTATGTGGATCAGCTGCAGATCACCTTTCAGGAGAATTGCTTTCCATGGGTTTGCCACTCAAAAGGGAACAGGTGCAAAAGGTTTCTCCATGTTTTTCCAGAAAAGGAGGCGGCTCGGAAGTCAGAAATCAGACGTACGGCTCGTGTTGCAGAGAGGGACTCAGCGTAGCCGGTCTTTCCATTGCAACCGCACAGGGGGCCACACTAAATCTCAGGACCCAGTTGACCCCGATGAACCACCACCACCACCACCACCACCACGATGACTACTACTAGACTACTACTATTCCACTACCACTAGCACTATCACTACCGCCACCACACTTCCATCACACAAAGTCTTGGCAAGCATTGGCGGAAATCACCAGCAAAGGACCTCCGTTGGAACTCCTGGCTCAAATGCCAAAGACTATAGTTTTGGGCTTCTCTCCTATCAAACGTCTTTTGTTGGGACTTCATGGATGGTTTGGTCATTCCATGGTGGAAGGTATCCACAGATGTCCAGTTTGGATTTGCGCGGGGTCCGCGCACAAGTTCCAGCATCTCCGAACAGATGAAGTGGAGACTGGTCCCTGCTTTCCATCATTTTGTCCTACCAACTACCAACAGGTACCAGGTACTTGCGCACTAAGAATCAAGGACCCTCAAAGCTGAAGGTTTGGTTTGGGTCCAAACCCCTGTGTTCTGGGTCAAAACTCTCCAGTTCGAAGGGTCCGAGTCCCATGGATAGGGTATTCCGATGTATTCCGTATACCCAGCTCTTCACCCTGTGTCCGCCGGTCGAATCGGTGTCCGAACCTTGGGACCACCGAACGGACCACCGAACCGGTGGGCGCGCACGAAACGAAACGTCTCACCCGAACGCGAACGGAACGGCGCAGACGACGGTAGCCTCCGCGGGATCGCGGGGGATTGTGATCGCGATCGGTGACGCGATCCGCGGGGACATGAGCAAGACATGAGCATACTGCTAGCAGTCAGAAGACGGGGTGCTTTTGTCATGGAGGTCGTCGGGGCGACCCTGTCACATCCACGGCCACTGGATGGGAGCCACACCGCAAAAAACTCCACTGCTGGAATGAAATTCCATCACCATTTCCAGGTGTCGGGTGTCCCTGGTCCCTAGAGGTACGACGGCTATGACACTAACCGTGCTGGTGATAGATTCCTCCAGATGTGGGGGATGCAAGTGCCATCAAATCCGAGAAGTTTGGGACAACCAAGATCAGTCATGTATCCTGCGATGTTGTTTCGAAAGAGGTAATTGGAGGATTGGTTGGATAGGGGTGCTCAATCCACTCACTGGATGGGACTAAAAACAATTCCTTTGGAACTGCTGGTAATATGGTAGAGGTTTGTTTCCTCCAGATCCTCGTCGGCTCAGTCCGTTCCTTTATTTTTCGGGGGGGCAACAACACGTGGCCGGTGCCAACCACGTGTTGCCCCCGCAGCCCAAGCAGCACAAACAGCGCTTCGTGTAGTGAAAATCCGCAGCGCGGGATGATTTTGGTGGGTTGGAGTTGGATGGACTTCAAGAACACCACCCCCACATGACCTTCTCAAAATGCATGTGGATCCCTATGGGGATGTTGAGTTGGGTTCTGCAGAGTGCTTTTTGATGCTTTTTGGTTTCAGCGGATTGGTTCATATCCACAGCAACATGCACTTCACCTGGCCTTTTGCACTTCCACTGCCTCGGCAGGTTTCTGGCAAGACTGCTGCGGGATTGGTGTGAGGCGCATAACAAGGAGAAAAGGGAGCGCAAAAAGACTACAAGAGGGCGGCGCGGGGGATTTTGTGGGCAAAAAACGACATGCACTGCCAGTGGATGCAAGGCATCCGCCATCATCCGCTGGATCATCTGGGTAATGATGTTTCTTGTGCCCTCCGGGTCTATATACCAGCACCTTCAAGGGGGTCACCAATGGAAGCCTCTACACTAAGGGACCTCCATGGGACACCCCTGGAAGGTCCAGGTATGTTTATTCGTATCCTTTTTCTTTGGAGGTCAGATTTCTCCTGGGGCCGCTTGCTCTACATAGGGCCTACCCGCCAACAACAACCCTGAGGATCAAAGACCATAGAAGAAAAAAACCCACTGGAGAGGACAGACCCCTGGAGGACAGACCCCCTAGATGGGAGATTTGGAGATCTGAAGTCCTGGGAGGTTGTAGAGATGTCAATTCATCTCAGATCGCTTTTCAGGGAGGTTCGGCCGAAGGCCCTTCAGCCAATCTTCCGGGTCAGATCGGTTTTCAGGGAGCTTCTTCACGGCCCTTCAGCGGCCCTTCAGCCCGGAATCTTCCGGGCTTCGGCCGTGGGCATGGCGGATGAGCGTTCTCTCTCCATCACCATTGCTAAGCAACAATGGTCAAACCCTAGGACCTATGACCTCGATTGCCGGATCCAAATGTGCGAATAGGCTGGAAGCCAACAGACTTGCAGATGGACCGATGGACCTGTCAGACAGGACCAATGAGACATGATCCTGCATGAATTGAATCTGTTCTATAGATTTGGCACCTTCAGATTGGGCACCCACCTCTCTTCCCAGCTGACTCTTTCTCCCTCCGGTGCGCCAAGGTCGATGGAGCCGCGCGCAAGGGCCCGCGCGTTCGGGACGCCGAGAAGGGGGGGGGGCAATGCGCAGTCTCGTGTGAAAAAAACAAACCAAGCACGGTAAGCTCCCCTGGAGAAGCCCCCGTCTTGGCGGGTCAATGTCATATTCCCATGGAGTCTTTGGGGGAAGGTCGAGGAGAGGTCTGGCGGTTTTTTCAGCGTTGTTCAGGTGCGGAAGGATTTGATATACCAAATGGGTCCAAACCTTGTATATAACCATTGTAACATCATGATCATGATCCCCATCACTTGTCCCTCTATTTCGAAGCTTTTCTCTTGGGAGTAGGGGCCGGGGGAGTAGCTTCATGTGCTTCATCATCCACCCAGAAAGTGAACACCCCGGACCGAGACCTGAAAACGGGTCCGTGGCCATGCCGACCGCCGATCAGACCCGACCGGACCGGTCCCTGAAGACTCGCCCGTGGACTCGAGTCGTCGTGGAAGAGAGGGTTTGTTTGAGACCAGAACGTGAGAAGACCCTGGTCTGTGGATGTCTGTGGTACAGACCTAGATCTTCCAACATATGCAACATGTATGCCGGCATTGGATCCTTTTGGCTGGTTTTTCGACGACTAAAGGTATACTTTTTTGCATAGTTGGAAGATCTAGGGATGGGTTGGTCGACAAGACGGGCTGTGAGTTCAACTCTCTTGGCTTTTCTTCACGTGTCTTTTGGGACGTGAAGTCAACCCGTTGAACCCCTCCGTTGGGCGCCGCCGCACCCCCGGGAACGGCTCGAACCGGAGATCTCCGGGCTTTCGGGAACCGTTGGGGCCTCGGCGCGGTGGGTTGGATGTATGCCACTGGTCACCTGAGGATCTTTCTCGGCCGTACCGGAGCCCTGTTTGGGTTAGAGTCACGTGAATTATGAAGGTCAAGCTTCACTCATGGAATCAGTTGGACCTTCTTAGGGGGGCCGAACCCACCAAGAACTCCTAGGGATCCAGTCGTACCTTCTCAGGTTCGGTACGACTGGACCCGACGTTTTGGCACCTACATAACAGTGTCTCCGTCCTCACCGTACCTGAGAAGGTACGACTGGACCTCGAGGGGAACCGAACCCACCACCAGGTCCAAGCGTTTTCCTCGACTCGCCGGCACCGTGACACACCCGTGGGGTGACGTTCGGTCGCATGGTGCAGAACGGTGGAGCTGCTTCAACCAGGAATGGACCAGCGATATCCGCTGTTTGGGTGTCTGATGGTAGCCAGGGTAGCCTAGTAGGCAGGTGGGACCCAGAACGGATGATCCAAGGAGATGTCAAACCATTCTGGTTGGGTTGTTCATCCACAATGACCTCATCACGTCAATGGCTCCTGATCACCACGATGCGGCCCGGGACCGAGGGGCAGCAAGGTGTTGAGCAACAGTGGCAACTGTTTCTGAAGAGGTGTTGGCCAATCATACTCCCTAGCGCTCCAACTAGCTCCTGAGAAGATGGTTGGGGTCAGTGGAGGGTCTAACCACCTTCTGAGGATATGGGCCAGGAGCCCTAGGGACTACCCCTTCCCAGACCCTTCCCAGACCCTCCATGTATGCCATGGCTGAGTGACCTCTGATGGACGAGCAGCAACCAGCCAAAAGGATCTTCTATCAAAAGAGGGGTCACGTGGACTCTAGGTACATCCAGCAGTCACGTTCGACGGGGCTCTATCCATGGAGGTAGGAGTTGGGTGCCCCGTCGTCACATCCACTCACTGGATGGCACTAAACACCACCCCGAGATGTGACTTCTGGTAAGTATGTCCAGATTATGATATATGGCATATGCTTTCAATGGGCCAGTTGTCCTCAAGGTTCTCCC